CACTTCCGTTTACTTTCTGTACCTGAGAACACCGAGGTCCGCAAGATGAAATACCTTGGCAAAGATCTCAGAGACGAAAAACAGAGGGCCTAGGATTCACCTGGCTTGTTGGCTCTGAGCCTCTTTCACTTGGGCACATTGCCACTGTGAACAGAGTCTTCTAGAAAGCTGCCTGCAGCGGGGCAGTGGGTAGAAGCTGACAGCAGCAATAGAAAGCAAATGGCCATTGATAGGACCTCGGTGAAGGAGTGTAGCGCTGGGATTTTGTGGCCTGTGGCGTTCAGTCTCCTGACCTCTATGCCAGTGCAGAGACAGCAAAAAGCAGTGGGAAGCTTTGTGCTTCCAGCTCGACGTTGGCTTGATAAAACCCATTCATCACTGTCTCACTCATTAATTCAGGGCAGCAACTGCTGCCTGATGCTGGCATTTGTCAGTGGCTTGTTTCTGGAAGCCTCTGGTCCTCAAGGCTGGTCTGCTCTGCAGTGCACAGCCCCGGGGTGAACCCTTGCAGTAGAGGCAGGCCTTTCCTCTCCCTGCAATTTGTAAAATGAAACAACTATTTTTATAAAACAAACGTAAGGTGAGGCAGCAGTAAAGAACACTAGCTTGGAGATTAGGCAGGTGGGGTTTTATTCTGCTGCTGCCGCTTAGCTAGCTACGAAGGTTATTTAGTACGTATAAGCCAGTTTTCTTATTTCTAAATGGGCAAAGTCAAACCTAAAAAGCTCATTGCGATATTAAAGTGTGGCAATGTTTCTGAAGTGCCTTGCCTGACTCCTGAATCTTCCCGTATGAGGCTCTAGTTCCTGCTTCGCCATTGCTGCTGCCACCACAGTGCAAGAGTATTTGGAAAATAGAGACTATAAGAAAAAAATAAATCTTACAATCCTACAACCTTGATATAACTACCTTTAAATTTAATTATATTTCCCAAATCTTTTTTCCTCTTCTACTTCTAAACATACCAGATTTTATGTCATATAAATTTTATGGTCAGGTGTTTTTTTTCTCTCTCCTCTGTGTGGTTGGAACTGTATTGTATTTAGATTTTTTTTGGGGGGGGCTATTTTTAATAGATTTCCCTCTTGACCATAAGAATAGTGCATAAAATCCAGAGCATAAAATAAAAGAAAATGAAAAAAAACCATATTCATAATGCCAATCTCATCTCCAGCCTCAAGGCATTTGTTGCTAACATTTAACGATAAAATGTCATTTAAAGTTGCTTTACCCCAAGTATCTCCAGGTTGTCTAGTTTCTGAGCTCCCTCCGTTTTTTTTTCTTTTAATTTTGCCAGAGGGAGTTTGCATTTGCCAAAGAGAGACAGAGAAAGAGGGGAAGCAGCAGAGAGACAGAGACGGCTAACACACGCACAGTCTGAGTAGACACCTCGTGTGTGATCCCAGAGACTCTGGGCGTGTGTGAAGGGCCCAAGATCCCAAAAGGAGGGAGAAGTGGAGAAGAGATTGTGGTGTGACTGTCCTCCCCCACAGGGAGGAGGGGGACACTTCCTCACTCTCCCTCTTTCTCTGTCTCTCTTTGGCCAATGCAAACTCCCTCTGGCAAAATAAAAAGAAAAAGAGGGAGATCACAAACTAGAGAACCAGGAGCTGCTGGGGTAAAATATGCTCCCAGGTGCAGCTTTGCCGACGCTGACCGGCCCACACAGATTTGGTAGCCTCTTTCCTGTGGCAGCTGGGAACCGGGAAGCCCCACTTTTACACGGGAGAAAGCCTAGGACCCCGTGCTGCCCGTCTCTGATGCGCAGACTGGCCCAGTGCTCACGTGCCTCCGAGCCTGTCACCGTGCTTGTCAGGGGCCTGAGCCGGGAGCCTTTGGAGATTCCTTCCCAGGAGTTTTCTCTAGGAGAGAGAGAATCAGCAAGAGAGGAGCGTTTGGGGAGTTGGGGTGGCTCTAGTTTTTTGCTTTTGTTGTTGGGGCCAGCAGGTAGCATGGTGGTTAAGGCACTGGGCTCTCACATGGCCGACTGCCGTGTGAGTTCCGGATCTAGCAGCTTGAGAACACACACGCATGTGCGCGTGTGCAAAAAAATCCGGGAAGGAAAATGGAAGAGAAGGGGTGGTGGTGTGGCCATACCCTCTGAGGGGCGATTTCTCACTTTCTTTCATTGTCTGTCTGTCTCTCTCTGGCAAGTGCACATACCCTATGGCAAAAACCTAAAAGGGGAAAAAAAAGAAAATTGCAGGTAAAATGATATATATTTATATGTATATTATTAGGTTGTCTGTAAAGTCATGACGTATTTTTCTATGCAAAATGTGTCATGACTTTCCCGATAACCCAATATATGTACATACTATATATACAGTCTCTTAAAATTTCTTTTAGTTTTTGCTCTAGGGCATGTTCATTAACCCGAGAGAGATGGAGATAGAGAGAGAAAGAGAGAAGGAGAAGGAGAGAGGGAGGGAGGGAGAGAGAGAAAGTGAGAAATCACCCCCCAGTGGGGATGGCCATTCCACAATCCCTCCTCCTCCATTCTCTTTCTGGGATTTTAGACACACACACGCACATGCACCCCAGTATGATTTTCAGTCTGCTGGGTCTAGGGCTCGAATTGCAGTCAGCTATCAAGCCAATGAACACAAGTATTACTTCACATAGTTGTCTTTTTATAGTAAGAAAACTTCAAATTTACTTGTCTACCATTTTTTCAAGAGTACAATATATTGTTATTAACCATAGGCATTTGTGACAACATAGATGAACCCGGAGGACAAGATGTTAAGTGAAATAAGCCAGGTACAGGAAAATACCAGTGATCTCACTCATATGTGGAAACATTTATCGGTAGATCAAAAAGGCTGATCTCATAGAGGCAGAGGATAGAATGGTGGCACAAGTCTTAGTTTTGACATAGAATTACTCTGACATCTGAGACAAGTTATTTCTCCCCGCGCCTCAGTTGAGAGCTGGAACCCCAGGGCACACCCACATGAACATCCCAGAAACCTTCCTCTTACCCGGAGCTGAAGTGAGCCGGATTCATTTGCAGGATGCTTCTCCTGAGTCTAGAGTTCTTGCTAATTAGCACGTGAGGAACCATACGTGCTCTCTCTTTTTTTTTTTTCTTAACTTTCTTTCTGTCTTTACTTATTTTAATTTGACCAGAGTGGGACAGAGTGAGAGAGAGAGGGAAAGTAAGAAAGCAAACTGTCAGGTCTGAGACTCAAACTTCAGTTGGCCATGTGGGAGTCCAGTGCCCTTAATCACCATGCCACCTGCTGGCCCCCATGTATGCTTTAAAAAAATTATTTATTATTATGATTATTTTTTAAATTTGCTATAGGGCACGTGAACTTACCAGAAAGAGACAAAGAGAAGGAATATGAGAAAGCATGCTGCCAGGCCCAGGACTCGAACCACAGTCAGCCATGCAGGAGCCCAGTGCCTTAACCACCATGCCACTTGTTTCCCCAGTCAGTCCCTCTTGGTTACAGTTGGGACACGCAGAAACTGAGAGGCAGGAAGTGTTCGCTTTCTGTTTGGAAACACTAGATTGAGAATCCCAAATGACTGTCTTTTACCTATTAGATACGTGTTCTTCTATGTTCTTTGCGCTTTCATTCTCTCTCTCATTTAGCAGAAGTTAACTGAGTCCCCGGCCTTGTACGAGCCATCTGTGCATTAGACAGGTGAATGGGACTCAGCAGTGTTCTCGAGCGGCTCGCAGTCCAGCGAGGAGACAGCAGGACAGCATTGAAAGCACCAAGGTGCTGCTGCCATGGGGCTCAGAGAGGGGCACAGTGCCATGCGGCCCCAAGTCTGCTGAGATGCAGCAGCGACAGAGTTTCAGGAAATCTTTTAAAATTTTAAAGGATGAATAAATGTTTTAGGGAGCCAGTAGAAGAGAGGGCATTCTAGGTAGAAAAACAAGCATGTGGGAGACCAGCAGATGGCGTGATGGATGGTTATGTTGCTGGAGTCCCATGTAGTCAACTGTGGTTTGAGTCCCAGACCTGGTGGCTTGAAACTCATGCTGGGCGTGTGTGCACTTGTGCCCCAAATCCTGAGAGGAGCATGGAGGAGATGGGGTTGTGGCATGGCCATCCCCCCGGGCATGTTTTCTGTCTCTCTCTCTCTGTCTCTGGTGAGTGCACATTCCCTGTAGTAGAAACCCTTCTAAAAACAAACAAACAAACAAACATAAGCATGTGACAAGGCTTGGAGTTGTGAGAGACGGTGGTGTGCTCACAGAACTGCAGGTCGTTTGTGTAGCCGGAAGGTGAGAGGGAGAGCAGGCGGAGGAGAAGGCGAGTATTTGTCCTCAGACCAGTCTGTTTCCACTGAATTCTTCTCTCATTTTATCAGTCCAGATGAAAGTGATGGTCTTTTTAGTTCATTTTTCAAAACTGTTATTGTCGTTGCCTTATCTTTCCATTTTTAAAATAACATATGCTCATTTTTTTTTTTAAGAGAGAGATTTTTGCTGTAGGGTGTGTGTGCTTGCCAGAGAGACAGTAAGCGAGAAATCACCCCCCAGGGAAGATGACCACACCACATTCCTTTCTCCTCCATTCTCCTCTCGGGATTTTGGGCATGCAGGCACACACACCCGGCGTGAGTTTAAGCTGCCAGATCCCGGTATAGAACCGCAGTTGACTATGTGGGAATCCAGCAACGTAACCATTACGCCATCTGCTGGTCACAACACATGCTCCTTATTGAAAGTTTGAAAATTACTAAAAAGTAGGAAGAAGAAAAGATAAAATCCCTCCAGGCCTCATACTGAAGATGACTTCTGTAGCATCTTGGCGCACCTCCATTCGGTGTCTTTTTCACCTTCTCTTTTTATGTAGCTCTGAGGTGTTGTAATTATAATCTTAACCTTGTGTGTGGTGCTCCTTTCCACTTCCTTCCTAAAATTTGCCAAAAATGGAGGGTAGCCATTAGACAATAGCTGTGATCACAAAATATACTTTCTGAAATACCTGTATAATTTCTTTCTCTACTAAAACTTATTTTCTCTCTTCTTACAGGTCTCTTGCGGCTCAGAGCATAATTTGGCAATAATCGGTAAGTGTTTTTATACTGATAACTGTGTTTATTCTGCAACTCATGGGGTGGAATTAGAGAAGACTTTGGGTTAACCAAAAGCCAAGGTTCATGTGTGAGTGTGTGTGTTGGTGCAGTCGGGAGACCTGCACCAACTAAAAGCCCTTTCTAAAAATTTCAATCCATATCATTGAGTATCTTTTTTTTTTTTTTTTTTTAAGAGAGATTTTTGTTACAGGGTGTGAGTGCGCACTGGAGACACAGAGACAAAGAGAAAGCAAGAAATATTCTCCAGAGGGAATGACCACAGGGCAATCCCTTCTCCTCCATTCTCCTCTTGAGATTTTGGGCATGCACGTATTTGTTATGTTGTATGAGTTTCAAGCTGCTGAGTCTAAGATTCAAACTGTGGTTGGCCATGTGAGAGTCCAGCACCACAACCACTATGCCACCTGCTGGCCCCATTGAGCATCCTTTTAAGGTACCTGAGTTGGCCTCCCTGCCTCAGGAAGTGGTATTGCAGGATGTTTTGGAACTCATGAGCTGGGGCATTGTGTGCAGAAAAGTCACACATAGAAAGGGGAAGTAGTTTGTACTGCTTCTGGTTCTTTGAGTAAATCCCTCGTGCCACGTTCTCTCCTGTTGGTTTGTCTTTGGTTGGGAATGTGGGGCTCTGCTCACCACCCTTGTTGCCTTGTATTTAGTGACATGCAGGAAT